GGGGGGGGGGGGGGGGGGGGGGGGGGGGGGGGGGGGGGGGGGGGGGGGGGGGGGGGGGGGGGGGTTGGAAATGGGAACATTGCTGCAAAGCTCCAGGAGTGAGAGCACACAGCAAGGGCAAGGCCTGGGGCGGGCGGGCGGACAGACAGACGGATGGATGGATGGATGGATGGACAGACTGCATCCCGAGGACAGACTGGGGGAGGAGAGGAGAGCAGCTCCCGCCGTGCACTGCATTAAACATATTTTCACCTCCGATCCGTGGATAAAATTAAACAATCATTTGCATGAACGTATCGCTTTCCTTTGTCGAGCTCTGGGAAAATGCTGATGTCAGTGACACAGCACTGCCTGCCCCGCAGCCCCATCTGTGTCCCCATGTCCCCATATCTCCACGTCCCTCTGTCCCCATGTCCCTGTTGTCCCCATGTCCCCATGTCTCCTATACCCCCTGTGCTCCCATATCCCCATGTCCCTCTGTCCCCACGTCTCTGTTGTCCCCATGTCTCCATAACCCCTGTGCTCCCACATCCCTCTGTCCCCATGTCCCCATTGTCCCCATGTCCCCATAGCCCAATGTTCCCCTGTCCCCATATCCCCGTATCTCTCTGTCCCCATGTCCCTGTTGTCCCCATGTCCCCATGTCTCCGTACCCCCTGTGCTCCCATATCCCTCTGTCCCTATGTCCCCATTGTCCCCATGTCCCCATATCCCCATGTTCCCATTGTCCCCATGTTCCCATATCCCCATGTCCCTCTGTCCCCATGTCCCCATAGCCCCATGTTCCCCTGTCCCCATGTCCCCATATCTCCATGTCCCTCTGTCCCCATGTCCCTGTTGTCCCCATGTTTCCTATATCCCCTGTGCTCCCATATCCCCATATCCCCATACCTCCATGTCTCTCTGTCCCCAAGTCCCCATTGTCCCCATGTCCCTGTAGCCCCATGTTCCCCTGTCCCTCTGTCCCCATGTCCCTCTGTCCCCATGTCCCCGTTGTCCCCATGTCCCCATATCCCCAAGTCTCCATATCCCCTGTGTCCCCATATCCTCATGTCCCCCTGTTCCCATATCTCCCTATCCCCATATTCCCATGTCCCCCTATCCCTATATCCCTATATCCCCATATCCCCATGTTCTCTCTGTCCCCAAGTCCCCATGTCCCCATATCCTCATGTCCCCCTGTTCCCATATCCCCATGTTCCCATGTCCCCCTGTCCCTATATCCCTGTATCCCCATGTCCCCTGTCCCCATGGCCCCACACAGGGGTCACCACACTCACACCCCACAGGCCCTACAGTGACACTGGGGCCGTTCCCAGCACTGTGGGATCAGAGCTCAATGCTGAGGTCACAGAGGTGCCCCCCACACCCCCAGAGCACTGCAGGACGCCACATGGGGTCGTGGTGCCCATGGACACCAATGGCAGCTCACACATCCTCCTGCTCACAGCCCATCCCAGCATCCTCATAAACCCATCTGCACCCGATGCTCTCCTTTTGGGGTTTGTTGGCATTGAGGGAAGTGAAAGAGGTCCATTGTAAAACACCTCCAACGCTGCACGTAAATAGGTGGGACATCAATAAAATATGGAGCGGCGTCATTATTTATTTAGCAAATCTGTTTGGAGAGGAAAAAAAAAAAACAACAAACCAACAACTCAATGATGCTCGGCATCCCCCCCCCCCCCCCTCCAAAAAGTAAAACAAATAAAAGCAGAATTATCCGGAGCCAGAGCATCCTCAGCACACAGGAGCTGCTCATCCTCTGCCATCAAGGTTATCCATCGCTCCATCCGACTCCCATCGAGATATTTCTCTATCAAGCCACCGACAACCAATCTTTCTCCCTGTCAGTGTGAAGCTATCATAAAGCTGTCCACTTGTCTATCACGTTTATTTGTTTTCATTTATCAAGCCAAACCACTAAAAGCCTCTCCGGGACGCTGGTGGCACCGCACACCTCCCCACATGGACCCCAATATGGTGGGACCCCCTGGTGCCCCCCCCCTCCTTTAAATGCTCACCCCCCCCCCCAAGGACAGAGGTGGCAGATGGAGGTGGGGGTGGATGGGGCCGTTTCCTGGGTGCTGCCCTCCTGCACAGCGTTGCAGAGCCCAGCTTTGCATGGAATTATTTTTTCTTCCCCAGTTGAAAGGAAAATGCTTCCTTACAGCTTTCCTTCCTTTCTTTCTAACAGCTTTCAGCTTGTTTTTCTGCCCGAACAAAAACAACTATTTGCCTTAATTACTGCAAATCCTCAGGTTTCCAGCCCCCAGATACTCCTGGGGGGGACCCGAGACTGGTGGCAAGGAGGTATAATTTACACCATCTTCTATAGCTTTAATTGCACCAAGCCAGAAATTAGCGAAAATATTTGCTATTGAAAGCCAACCCCCCCCAAAAAAAAAGAAAGAAAGAAAAACCAACCCGACGACAACAACAAACTTCCAGCTTTAAAGGTAAAGAATGAGAGCAAAAAAAAAGATTCGGGCACGGCTCTCAGCTCCAGCGCTGACGCAGATGGAGAGGCCTTTCCTATCCTTGGGGATGGCTGCAATTTGGCTGCAACAGGAAGAGGGGCCCCGGGATGGAAATCCTGCAGCCCTGGCGCAGACGCAGCGCTGAGGTCCCAGCAGCACTGAGCTCTGCTTCGGCTTGGGGTCCTGGATGTGATGTCCTCATCCTGCCCCCCACCCCCCTCCCCAAAGCGCCCACCCTGGCAGAGCCTCCAAAGAGGCCACAGAGGGGGTGGGGGGGGAGGGTTGGGAGGAGGGGGTTTGGAGGGGGGGGGAAGCGCTGCCAGCGGGTTTGCTGCTTAAATAAAGCCACATGTGAGAAATTAAGGGCTAATTTACAACTGGTCCCAGGCAGCCACTGAAGGGGAGGGGGGGAGGGAGGGATGCGGAGAGGAAAGGAAACAAATCCATTAAGTGACCCAAATGTCAGAAACCCCAAAGTAATGAACAGCCACGAGTGCATTACTGCCGGCTCATTAGCGTCTGCTGTCAACTCGGGCCTCTCTGCTCCCCTGAGCCGCACCGGCGCTGACGGCGGTGCTGCCATGCAGGGCTGGGCTGGCGCTGTGCCGCTGCCCTCTGCTCCAGCACATGGCACACGGCACAGCACCCCACGTAGCACTTCTCCTGGCTTTGAGCTGCCCCGTGGCAATGCCAGCTTACGAGAGGCACCCGGCGCTCAGCTGTGCCCAAATGGAAGCAACGATGTGCGGAGAGCGCAGCTTGGAACTGAGGGGTCAAGTGGAATCGGATGTGGCTGCAGAAAGGGTCCCTCAGCCCCCGCCTTATGTAGGAGGCCGCCTTCAAGGAGGCAGATGCAGCGATGCAGGACACAGCCTGTGCCTCTGTGCCCTGCTCCCAGCCTTTCAACGCTCCCTGCCCTGCAGAGAACGGGTTGGGATGCCCCAGAGCTCAGATGCAGAAACACAGAGCAGGGAACACCCACGGCTCGTTAAAGCAAATGCTCGTTAACACACCCAGCCCCCAAATCAGCTGCATGCAGAGCATCCCCAGCTCCAAGCCAGCGCCGTGCTGGCACAACTGTGCACAGCTCCTTTTGGCACCAGTGCCAGTTTGCACTCACCTTGGCACCGATGCAGCGAGTCT